CACTAATCATGCATACAAGTTAAGACAATATTTTACAGTTCTTAATTTTCTTCCTTTTTTCATTTTTTCCTTTTATAGTTGCATAGGACATTATCACAATATATAATCTATGCAATACAAAATACATAAAAAGTTACAGCAGAGCAAGAATAGATGAACATATAACTGTACAACTGTAATACTTCAGTGTAGTGATTTAAAGAGTTGAAAAGTGAGCCACGGAAGCTTTCATGTGCTGCTGATAAACTTTACAGTTCACTGCAGCTGGAAGTTTGGCTGTGAACATGTGCACACTCCCTGGCACACACGTCCCCTGTCCCCCCCTCAGGCATGTGCTGCTGGAAAAGCACATGTGCACACACACACACACATGTCCCCCAAATGCACAATACACACAAGTAAATGCACCTGTAACCAGAGATGAATCTCAACCACAAATCTCCAACAGGTTCAAAAATTCCAAATGCAATGGCATTTGGATCTAGGACTTTGGTTCAGGCCCATCACTAGTTATAATGAAATGGATACCTATTTTTGCTCTGTAGACATCCCTTCATTAGTCAGTGTGTAGTATAGACACACTGCTGTGTATTTATATATACACACATACACTATACAATATACACATATATATCTATTTATTTATATATATGTGCATATGCTTATATAAATCCAGATATATAAATATATATATTTATAAAAACCTATACCAGTGGATGGGATTTTGCATTCTATATTCTGGCTTATGGGATAAACAAGTATAATTTGGATATTTTCTTCTGCCTAAGGCTATAACTCTTATCCCCGAGAGTTACAAATACAGATGTTCATCATACCATTCACTGACATAGACTAGATTTTAGCACCCAATGCACAAACAGATGGTGTGATGGAGTAAAAGAGCACCTGGAAGTTAGTTTGTAGGCATGACCTGATGAAATTAGTAAATCTAATGGCAATGAAAAGGCAAAAACAACACTGCACTTCACAAAGTACAAATTCTGAAACTCATGACAAAGCACTGCAGACGAGCAATTGTGGAACAGGTATGCTCCTCACACAGCCTTTAATGCCTGGCTGTGTGAGACAAGGGGAGTGCTGAACATCTGGGCAGAGGGCAATGAGGTTTAAAGGTGGACAGAGGCTCTCATAGCTACAACTTCTTGCAAGGCTTAGTGCAGTAAAGAGGGTGGGATACAGGCAGGAATTAGGCATTACCATCGAGCAGAGGCTTCTGATGACTTGTCACAAATATATACCTTTGCAGTTATGTAAACAGATACTAGGCATGTATTAGAAAAGCAAGGAACAATTAATTTGCAGATACAAAAAATTCTCACAAAATCTAGCTGCCAGGAATTTACCAGTACTGCTTTCTAAGAAGCAGGATGAAAAGTGAATTCATGTTGCCAATTAGGCCTTTGCACTGGGAGAGGTTAATGGAAGGGATGAATGAGTTTCTAAGAGCATCTTTAGTTTCCTCTGGTAGTGAGGTGATGATTTTCATTTGCACCTATTTCTTATAGAGAGGCAGTTCATCTCCACACTTAGAGAAGTTAGAATCATGGCTGGAGAAAAACAAACTTTCAGGGGCTTTCTTAATAATAATAAAACTGTTGCTATCATCTGAAATGAAAAAAATAAACGATGGCAATGTTGTATTTTGTGAGAACACCTCAACAGAATGCATGATGAGAGGAGGAGGCAGGAGAGATGCACACTCCTCCAGATGGAGAAACCTGCACCTTGCCAGAGCAGTATTTCCTGAGTGTGATGTGTTTGTTGCTGTGCCAGGAGACTGTTTTAGATTACACTGCTGGGTGACACAACAGAAGGGGAAAAATCTGAGGTTAGTTTGGATAAGCACACAGATTTCAAAAGAGAATTTGAGCTGTTCTGGCTTCTCGTATCTGCAAAACTCAGGAGGGACCATCATGAGGATAGAGTCTAATGACCTTGCTGATCATCAAACATTTCTAGCAGATGCTAGAAAACCCCAAACACTCTTTTTTCATATGAAAATATTAAGTTAAATTTTTATTCACATTCCATTTTGGAAAATACTAGTGGTTTGGAATTTATCATTTTATTCTAAACTATAATGTATTAAAATTTTAGTGAAGATATTTGAAACTCTATCTGGGATTTTAAAACACAGTAACCTGGCTGTCAGTCTAATACATGCTGAGGTATTTACAGCTAAGATTAAAAACAAAAAAGTTTTAATGACCAATTTCAGAGTATTTCCTCAAAATCCCATTATGTTGGCTATATACAGTCCCATGGTATTCTCATTAAATCAACTGACTAAACTGGAAATGTGACTTTGAACCAATTTATTTTTTCCTGCTTAAACTTGAAGGACTATTAGTAATACCTATGAAGAATATGAGTAAAATGTTAGTTCACTGTTTGAGTTAAATATTACATAGTTCTGTGTCCCTCAGAATAGGTTGTCCCATAGCCTTTATATGCTATAATCTCAGTACTAATAAAACCTGGTGCAAATATCCCTTCTCCAGGCTAGTAAAACAACTTGTTTGTAATGCATAAATGAACTGGAGTAGCTCCTCCTTTCCTGAAGATTAATTACACTCTTATTGGAAAAGGTGATTTTACAACAAAATTAATTTGGAATGTGAAGCCTATAGAATTTGCCAATACATAGTGCTCTTTTTTATTTTGGTTGTTTCCCCTCTCCTCCATATACCTCTCTTAAGATATCATGAGAAATGTGTTTGACTTGTTTTGAAGTATGTGCACAAGACACAGCTGACCTGTAGAATTCCTTGAGCTAGATGCCTCTCTACTAACTACAGCACAAGAGCACTTCTAGGAGTCACAGAAATTATTGGAATGTGAATTCCTGTTACCTGAATTCTATCAAGTTCTTAAAATTGTGCATCTCAGTACATGAGATTAAGGAAAAAAAAAAAAAAAGAAAAAAAAGAGGAAATCTGTTGAGGCCAACAGATCTGGTTTTCCCCTAACTCCAGAGGTTGGGCAACTCATCACATTAACTCTCTTTGTCATCTTGCAAAAAACTCCTTACTATGTTCTTTCATTTTCTGTGAAATAAAACAGTAGAATTGTGCCTCACATGACTTCCAATTCAAAGGGCAAAATTAACAAAGTGGAATCTGAAGCAAATGAACATTAAAAAATACTGAAACATCAGCACTTGTTTATAGTTTCATCGATAAATACTTGGAGTATTTATCTATACAACTAATAAAACATGTAGTATTAGGAATAATGTATATTATGTAAGTACCTATGAAACTACTTGGAAATCTATATTAGCTTCTCACAGTTAACATACAGTACAATAAAACCTTGCAAAACTGGATCAATGCAAAGCAGCAAGTAAGATACAGGTTCATTGGGAATCTGGAGGCATTCACTTCATATTAAATGACAGGTTTGGTATAGACAGTCTCTTTTCACCATGCTACACTTAATTGCATTTATACCCTACAGTAAAAACAGCAAACATCCCAAAATTCCAGAATCAAAAGGACCTGAATTGATAATATGCACCATCAGACCCACACAAACCAAGGAAAATGTATTTGCTGCCAGTGAGGTTTTCAGTACATCAGTATGCTCCTGGTCTTCTACTACATTTCCTACCATATAAAACATAAAAATCTATCTCCTTGTGCTCTACCTAGTGTTAAGTATTTGAAAGTTATTGAAAACTAGACAATATTCCCTTTCTGTTCTTAAGCAGTTATTCAGAAATAAGAGCACCTTGCTTTATGCTGGTATGTGTACTTTTGAGAAACTGGAAGGAGTGCTGAGCTATAATGTCATTTTATTTTGAACTTAAAAATGAATATTTTATTATTCCAGTCAGAAGATACCTCATGATTTTCACTTCCTGTTATCAATGACCACAATTTTGATGCAACAGGATACAGAAACTATGTCTTAGCCAATTTTTCTTTCTAAGATACAGCTGTACAGTAGGTAAGTACCTTGATAACAGTTTTGGTGGGCATTGGTTCAGTAATGCTATTTCCGTAGTTCATTGAAAAAAAACACAAAACAAACAAAACAAAAGAAGAAGAAATAAAGGAAATTGTTCAAGTCAGTGTGGTTTGATTTGAATATTGTGTTGGTCTCATACTGAACAGGCAGTGCAGACAACTTAACAACTTGGAGACAGTGACAACAGAATGCCTCTGAGATTCCAGGCCACCTTGCCATAAAATGTTACCCAGTGAAAATTTGTTTCTTTGTGATTTAGGTTACTTATTTAAGGCATCTTGTTGATTTTTTTTTTTCCTCAGAATTTTATCTAGCATAAAACAAACCAACAAGCAAGTTTATCAACCTCACAGAGAATTTTGCAATTGGAAGTTGGTTTTGGAGCATCCTCAGCATGAAGTGAGAAGACAGCTTGCTACTGTAAGCAGAGGGCAGCCTGAAGAAAGACAAGACTCCTGTTTGGACACTCCCCAACACAGGTGTAAAATCAGGACAAGCAACGGTGGAACAGTCCGGTACTACATTCCAGTATTGGATTGGTTTCTGTATTGTTTGCTTGGTTTTTATTTTTTCCCCAGTGTGTGAAGAACCTAACAAAAAGCTTCTGAGTGCAATTATATCTACAGAGTAAGGCCATGGTTAGGGTGTTGTCTTCATTGTAATTATTGTGTAACATAAATATCCATCCCTGAGAAAGGAGAAAGGGGACACGAATCCAACACAGTTGATTTTTAAGTGTATGTATGCTTATATTGTGCAATCCGGTTTCACAAACTACTTTGACACCTGAGGTGAATTAAGCGGATTTTTTTCCTTTTTTTTAAGATTTTTTTTTTCATTTTCTTATAAATAATAATGAAGAGGATCCATAAATGGTTGCAAAATATATGAAATATTGAGACAGCAGGAGTCACTAAGTGTAACATGTAAATTTGTCTGTCCATGAGGTTAGAATAGCCACTTGTGTGGTTGGGTAAAGAAAATCTGACTAAAAATTGCAGTGGGAGGCAGCTATTTACTGATTTTTTTTAAAAAGATAGGGTGGGAACTGAAGGAGGGGAAGCAACAGAGTTTTTAAAATGTGTGCAACACAAACAAAACTCCAGGTTAGGCATCAGAGGCAAAGTGCTGACATCCAGTGCAGGTAGTCTATGGGGAGCTGGCGGGGCTGATGGTGGGGCTGGAGGCGTCCGAGCGGCTGTAGTCACTGACAGAGCCTGTCCTGGAGCCGCTGCCGCTCCTCCTCTTCAGCATGCTGGGGTGGAAGTTGGCGTGGCGCCGGGCGTGCTTGGTCAGGTGGTCGCTGCGCATGAAGCGCTTCTCGCACAGCGGGCAGCCGAACTTCTTCTCCCCGGTGTGAGTGCGGTAGTGCCGGGCCAGCTCATCCGAGCGAGCAAACTTCTTGTTACAGCCCTGCCAGTTGCATTCAAAAGGACGCTCACCTGCAGGGAGCAAACACGGCACGGTTAGAAGGGAGAGCAGTGTCTTCCAGGGGCTATTTTTTTTTTAAAGAATAAAAGGGTTGGAAGCAGGGTGGATGCCACTTGGCACTAAGCGGATGGAGGTGTTATCCTCTGCCAGAGGAGGCTGCTGTGGTATTCCAACCCGTTAAATGTGCTGTCAGTCAAAAAAGTCATATACCTTATTTGATAACTGGGTCTTCAGGGATGCTGGGCTCCTGGTCCTTTAATGGATATCTCATATCTCTTGTGGTCTGTTGAACTTATGACTTAATAATATCTGTACTGAGCTTTCATACTCACTAAGTGAATAGTGTATTCACTTATTCCTCCAAGCTGCCCCTATGTGTCTGACTAAGTGCTGAAGTTCGGAAGGCATGATGAGGTCTTCTTCTTCAGCTATTTAAATACGGTAAAAACGCAAAATTGCAATTTTGACGTGCTGGATGTGAGGCTCTCACCTTGTATTTTCCACAGCCATGTTTGTGTTTTCTGCATTTGCTACAAATTACTACAGATTCCCTCGTTCAGTGCCTTCGGTCTCACTCAGAAGTGAGGCAGGGAGCGCTGTATTTCAGCAGGGGACAGGTGACACCTTGAAGGTACCGGCTTTCTTTGAATAGCTAACATAAACCCCGTGAGCTGTGGCACTTGGAGCAATGAGCAGTGAGCTCACAGGAGGAGCGGTGTGGTGACCTGGTGCAGCTCTGAACAGATGTCAGACAGGGGATGGATGCCTGGTGCTGTTTCAGGGCTGTGCACCGTGGTAGATGTGCAGCCTAGGAAGCTCTGCACAGGCTGCAGACAGAAGCAGCATTGTTGTTGGGTAGATGGGTATCTAGAATCTATTCCCAGCTTCATCACTGATGTGCTGAATAGCTTGGGCACCTCATATTATCTGCCTCCATCCCTAGTTTCTCCATTTCATAAAAATGAAAATGTTAAATCGTGAAATTTTCTGTCGACTACTTCTGCTTATTGGTTTGGTTCCTACCTTCACTGTCCTGAGTCTGGACATCACACATTCTTTATTTGTTATTAATTAAGAACATCTTATTCTTTTGTGAATACATGAATACATAGACCTAGCATTTTTTGTAGTTGTAATTTTAATAACTTCCTACTTGCACTAATCCCAATGTTTCTATTCTGAATAGCCTGTTTAAGAGGCCCAGAGAGCTATATAAATTCTAGGCCAAAATAAGAAATAAGAGTTCTTTCCACAGTACGCCAAATAGGAAATAAAGAAAGAAATTAGCCTCCTGGAGAAATTCAATACACCTTAATTAAAACTGTCTGAGATAAAAATTGACCCCAGCAAATCTTCAACCTAAACACCCAATAATCTGTTGGCAATAACATTTATCTCCAGAATCTGCTTAGGAGGCCTCTGCTCAGAAAAATACTTTTATAGGCTCCTTTTCTCTCTGTTCATGAGGCCTCCAAGATAATTCAGCCAAATCTCAAACAGTGTCTCAATGAACAGATAAGCAAGTCTTTTTAAAAGAGGAGTTTTTTCAAGAATCTGGAGAAGGCAAGTGTCTCTGGTGTTTCCTTGATTATTTAGGAGAAAGACCAAGGCTTGTTAAAACCAATTGTTCTTAATCAAATCTGGTGGATTTCATTATGTCTACAACCACAATGCATAATGTAGTGCTTGCATCTGTGCAGTACACACAGATATTGTTATATGGAGAACTAGGGACTGGCATAAGGCAGCAACGATGAACAGAACAGTGGCTTCCCCTGACATAGAGCTTAAAAAACTCAGGGTTCCACAAATGAATATAAGAATAAAACCAAAACCAACTGTATTTAAAAGATATGGTCTTGTTGCTTAAAATAACCCATGCAAATCCATTCAATGTCCTCCTTAGCCTTATTCTGCCTGCAAATTGGCAGGGACTGAACTCTCCATCTGCTGCTAGAGATGGGTAACAAATGTATTTTGTCTGTTTGTCATATATCCAGTCAGGTGTTCTTAGATATGTTCCTGCCTGTGGTGGGACATGCCTGTGGTGTGACAGCCCTGTTTTATGACCACATTCACTGGTCTTGTCCCTATGTTTTGGTCATACTACATATATACATCTAAGAGGACTGTAGAACCCCTGGGAAGAAGGGCAGTGAGGCATGGCCTGAGGGGTAGATGTAGCCTGCAGAATCAGTTCCTCATATCTGAGCTATGGCATCAGTTTTTCTAAGACAATGGCCTTTGGAGATTTCTATTGCCTGAGTCAATGTCTCTGTTTATTTTCATTACAAATGGTATCGACAAATGTTCTCCACTTGAAGAACTGTCCCATTAAATGAGTGCTTTCAGACAAGGAAGGCAAATGTTTCATGCAATGTTTTGCAACTGCTGTTGACACCACCATGGAACACAGGAAAAATGGTACCTTCTGTTCAGATCAGTTTAATGGCACCAGCCTCTCCTGTCCATGATTCTAGCATTTGAGAGCCAGCAGTGGGCACAACATTCCAGTTCCTAAAGAGAGAGGTGGTTCTGAAGTGGGATTTTGTAAGATCAGTGTTATCCAGCACTAGCAGATGATGAAGGTATTGAACAACCTATCTCTCCTTCTCCTCCCTGCACCAGACCTCATCAGGTCTGGTTGAGAACCTTCAGGTTCTCATTCTGTCTGATTTGATGTTGATGGTGGTGAGGATTTGGGTGCTGAGCCAAAAAATGTGGTATTTCTTCCACTATATTTCTACCATCCCTGTCCTTCTTCTTCCTAGGGACTATTTTCCCCCTCAGTCCTCTCTAGTCTTCATTTTGTATCCTCTTGGTACTTTAAGTTTCTTGGCCAAGTGATTTTCCACTGACAGCTGGCATCACTCTAGTAGTGGTAACAGCTCTTTAGAGTACTTCCCAGCTTTGTTGAGGTTTAGCAATTCCTCTTCAAAGAAAAACTGTATTGTGAGGAAATGCTGGATGCCTTGTGTGAAGATATAAGAGTCATTATTGTTCATAAAAAATTAGTACACAGTCTGGAACAAAGTTGCTGGGGGGTGTTAATTAAGGCAAGACCCAGCTGCTGCTCCAAAACCGCACATGGAAATTCAGTCTGTCATCATTCTCATCTCTCAAACAGAAGGGATGTGGTTTTCTGTACAGGTAAGTTATATAAATGTCCTTTTGCCAGCAGTAAAGCAATCAACAGAATTAGAGATTATATGAATTGATTGCATAATCTCATTAGGGAACCTGCAGCCAACAGTATAACATTCCTGCATAAGCAGTAGCCCATGGACATGTACTCAACAGAAAGTTTTCACCATTTAAATGGCTGTAACATCACATAATAAGGATTCTTTCAGGCAGTGTTGAAGTCAGAATTTTACCTTTATACACTGAGTGAAGAATTTGATCTTACAAATAATTGTAGAAGTGATTTCAAGTATCTTAGATATGGCAGGAAACACATCAAGCATGTGAATATGTATCCTGAGAGTCATAGTGCTGTGCCTTGGCAGCAGGAGTATCTTTGTATATTATGAGCCTTACTAACACATCTCCAAGAGTCCTAAGTTCCCAAAAGTTAAAGATGCTTGAAAATAAATTAATCAAAATGCAACTCTGTCTTCTTTATCTTTGGAGAGGCAGGGAAGAGATGCTTTTAAAAGATAAGGAATACTGTAAATTATTATCTCACAATTTTAAATAGGTTTGGCTATCCATGTTCCAAATCCTACTAAATGGTAACCTTTCTAGCTCCTTTGCCAGGGCACATGACATCTAAATTATGTTTAAGGTACACAAACTGATGGAAAAACATCACATTTGAGAAATAGATTCAGTTGATCTCAATTGAAAATTACACAAGCAAGAACATTTTTGGGTTTTTCCTGAACTCCGTCCAGTCAAAAAAAGAGGCAGCATAAAACCACATTAAGAAACTTGCAGCGCTCACAAGTGAAAGTAGGTGAGCTCTGCAGGTGCACCGAGTTTTGAATTCCTTTCAGGGCCACAGGCCTTGCTGTTCACATTGTCTGGCAGAGCAGCCTGCCAAAGGAAACCCAGAGTTGCCTGGGCTGTAGTAACAGCATTAAAAAAATGCACCTCTATCGTCTGTTGCTGGAAAGGATTCAGAAGCAACTAGAGCCAGCCTGTTCTTATGATATTACATAAAGGTCCTTTGTATTATTCTGTATTTTTCAACCATTATATAGAGAGGCAACTGTACGTAGTTATGGGAAACAAAAGCTACAGAGATGGTGGCACCAGATCTGATGTCTACTGAGCTTGATTTGGTTTGATCCTTTTAGTGCACATATAGTTTTAGGGACTCTTTTCCTATATAGTGAGCCTCCTATACAGACCCTGGAGTAATCTGCTTCCTGCTTCACCACTTCATCTGTCTGATAGCCAGCATCTGAATATCAATTAAAAAAAGATAGCAAGTCCTGCATAGGACTAAGCATACTTTGAAAATAACCTACTAATGACTGAAATGCCCAAACAGTTTGAGACAATTGTGAACCTAACCATTTTCTGATTTAAAATGCAAAGATTAGGCAATTGTATGTGAAGAGTTTGAAGTGTCATATCTACTGCCCTACAGATTAGAGAATTATCAGGTCAAACCACATACTGGGGGCTATTTTTTTCAATTTAACTCATGTAATAGCTTTGCACATTATGTTGGCATCTTCAAGCACATGTCAAGGCCATGCAGTAACAAAAATTTGTATCCTGGGAATTCCGTGAATGTCTGCCAAATCAGAAACAGTAAACCAGAAACGATTTTCTGTGATCTTTAATCTGTTCTGCTGTTTCCCAGAACAGGGTTGAATGTTGTTATAAAAACAGACTAGAAGACTGAACATGCCACTCTGTGCTATTCTTGCATTTCTACATCTTCATATACATAATTTAGAGTATATTTGGAAACACAGATCAGCAGGCTGGGTGGGGAGGATGAGGGGCAGACAGTTAAATAGAGATGTGACTGAAGAGGCCTTCCTCCAGGAGAGGA